CAGGGCTACTCGGTGCTCAGCAGCCTGGTGGGGCCTGCCTGCATCTTCCTGCGGCCCAGCATCGCTGCCACCCAGCTTGTATGTACAGCCTCCCCCCCACGCCCGCCTGCCGCTGCCCTCGTTCCCTCGCTGTGCCTCTCCCTGAGTCGGGGGAAAGGATTGAGGGGGGAGGTCGGAGCAAAGGCACACAGATGGGGAGCGGGCAGAGAGAGACCCAGAGAAACATCAGAGACAGCCACCCAGGGGATGGGCAGGGAGGTGGCAGGGTCTCTAGGAGACAAAGGGTGACATTGAGGCCACCAAGCTTGGGATCTGCCCAAACCAGACCCACCTCTGGCCAATGGGCTCCTTTTTTGTGGCGGGGCGGGGGGCGCGGGGAGGCCCTGGGAGAGGCCTGGCGGGGTCAGAGGAGGGGAACCCGAGACCCCAGGCCCGTCAGCAGGAATGGGGAGGAACGAGGCCTGGCGGGGTCAGACACAGGCCCTGTGCAGGGGTGTGGGGAGGCTGATTGGAGAGCCCCAAAGAACAAGAAACAAGGGGTCCAGGGACTTCCTAACCCCTCTGTGCCCCTCAGGACCGGGAGCTGCGGCCGGAGGAGATTGAAGGTAAAGGGTTTGGAAAGAACTAGAGTTTCCGGAGGGGTGAACGTGGGGGTGCGCACGGAGGGGGGGGGGCGCTCAGCAGTCTCCAGGAGGAACTGGGAGCCAGAAGGAGGCTGCAGGGGCCCTGGTTGAGGAGACGGGACAGACCGAGCAGGGATGGGCCGACAGAACCCCCAGCTGCCAGCTGCCTGGGCTCACTGGCCAGGTGGGTCTTGGGTCCCTTTTGTATTTGTTCAGCGAGCAGTTCCTAGGCACCACCCGGCCGTGTGCTGAGCTCTGGGAACATGGCCAACCAGACAGACCGGCCTGTGTCCTCTGGAGACGGATGTCAGGACGTCAGCAAGTGCAGACGGCTCAGTGCTCTCAACTACGAGTGCAATGGGCTGCAGGCTCTGACTTTAGAGGGAAGACTTCCTCTAAGGAGGACCAAGAGGAGGGGAGAGTGTTCCAGATGTGAGCTCTTCCTTCCTCCCTTCCTTCCTTCCTTCTTCCTTCCTTCCTTTCTCCCTTCAGCCCTCCCTTCCTCCCTTCCTCCCTCCCTCCCTTCCTTCCTCCCTCCCTTCCTTCCTTCCTTTCTCCCTCCCTTCCTTCCTTTCTCCCTTCCTTCCTTCCTTCCTTCCTTCCTTCCTTCCTTCCTTCCTTCCTCCCTTCCTTCCTTCCTTCTTCCTTCCTTCCTTTCTCCCTTCAGCCCTCCCTTCCTCCCTTCCTCCCTCCCTCCCCTCCTTCCTTCCTTCCTTTCTTCCTTTTCCTTCTTCATTGTCATATTCCCACTACCTAGAGCAGAGCTTGGCACATAGCAGATGCTTCTTAAGTATTTGCTGAAAGAATGAATTATAGGAATAGCATGTGCAAAGGCCCTGAGGCAGCAAAGAGACTGATGTTTAGGCGGAGGGAATGATTAGACCAAGGAGAGAAGGGTGAGTTGATCTGAACTGGGACCCAGGGGGACATTGGAGGACTGACCCTGCCCTACTTGGCAGAGCTGCAGGCCGCCTTCCAGGAGTTTGACCGAGACCGGGACGGCTACATCGGCTATGGGGACCTGGGTGCCTGCATGCGGACGATGGGCTACATGCCCACTGAGATGGAGCTCATCGAGATTTCACAGCAGATCAGTAAGTGCCTCAGACCGCCCCATCCCCACTTCTCCAGAGGCCAGGCCAGGGCAGCTGGGCAGCCCAGGCACAGAGATGCCTGCTGGTTGGCCCAGAGCCCAGACCTCGGCCATTCTCAAGGCAAGGACTCTGCCTCCATCCCTATGAGGTGGGCAGGGCAGGACCTCTATTCCCATTTGTTAGATGGGGACATTGAGTCTCTGAAAGGTTAAGTGACTTGCCGAAGGTCACACAGCCAGGTCATTGGAGCCAGGGCTTGAACCCAACCAAACTCTTCAGGAAATTAAGGAAAGTCATCAAAACCACAGATGGCCCCGCCTGTGGGGCCCGGAGGGAGAAGGGCAGTTACCAGGCCCAGGCCAGAAGGGGAGGGCAGGGGCGGAGGAGGGCCAAGGCCGGCCGGGATCTCTGATGAGCACGGCCCCCAGGTGGCGGGAAGGTGGACTTTGAAGACTTTGTGGAGCTGATGGGCCCCAAGCTGCTGGCCGAGACCGCAGACATGATTGGCGTCCGGGAGCTGCGGGATGCCTTCCGAGAGGTGAGGCCCCTGGGCTGGAGGCGGGCGGGGCCTGCTGTGTGCCGTGAGGGAGGGGCTGGGTGACTGAACGATTCCTCGCCGCAGTTTGACACCAATAGGGATGGCTGCATCAGCTTGGGTGAGCTCCGGGCGGCCCTCAAGGTCCTGCTGGGGGAGCGCCTCACCCAGCGGGAGGTGGACGAGATCCTTCAGGACATTGACCTCAACGGGGACGGCCTGATCGACTTTGAAGGTACCGCCTGCCACCACACACCCTGGGAGGTTTCTAACAGAGAAAGAACAACAGAGGCAGAGCGTTTGCTGTGGGCCAGGCCTGAGCGAAGCGCCCCGAATCCTCTCCCAGGAAATCATCAGGAGGACGCAGCAGGGAGGAGCTTTATCTTCCCGTGAACCGGAGAAGCCAGAAGCCAGTCAGTCAGTTCTTAGGAAAGTGTCAGTGCTCAGCGACAGGAAGTAGATGAAGCCGCGTTCTGAACCCAGGCAGCCCCATCCGGACCCAGCTCCTCCTCGACACGGAGGGAGCACAGGGGTCAGGTCATCGCAGAAGCCGCGGAAAATCAGGATGCAGCCCCAGAGTTGCTCCTGAGCTTCCTAGCAGCCAAAGCAGAGAGAAAATAATTGAGTTACAAGATGTTTTCTGTCCACCAGACAAAGCCCCTCTCCTTGGCCCAGAGACAGACCTGTTACCGATCAGATGCAGGAGACTCACTTGACCACACTCCCTTACACCTCAGGCCCGTATATGGGCCCCGCCCCTACTGGGGTCCACAGAGCAGACCCGAAACCTCCCTTTGTCCTGGCAGAGTTTGTGCGAATGATGTCTCGCTGAGCCTGCGCAGAAGCTGGACGCAGCGGAGAGGACTTGAGACCACAGCCACTGCCCGCGAGTGTGTTCCTGGAAGACCACTGCCTCCAGCTGGGACCCTCTGCCTCTTCCCCCCATCCCCCATCTGTGTGCAATGCCCTTGCCTGCCCTCACCCACCCCCACTCCCCCACCAAGCCCATCTCTGTTTCTCTGACAATAAAGTACCGTCAGACCTGGGGAGATGGCTTTCGCCTCTGACTTCCTCACCCTGGAGGACCCAGTATTTGGCCCTCAGAGGTCAAGTCCTGGGTCACAAGCCCCCTGGATTGTGAGCTCTGGGTGAGCAGGGGCCCTCAATGGATCCTGGGCCCCCAGCAAGTGTCCGGAAAGGTCCCTGAACGAGTAAACCAGCCTGCTTCTCCCAGAGCTGAGCCCCACATCCTGTGAAGGGCCCCTGCCAGACCCGGGATTGCTCTAGAGCAATGATGGCTAACCTATGACACGCAAACTCATTTTTTTGGTTGATTTTTCTTTGTTAAATGGCATTTAAATATATAAAACAAATATCAAAAATATAAGTCTTTGTTTTACTATGGTTGCAAATATCAAAAAATTTCTATATGTGACACGGCACCAGAGTTAAGTTAGGGTTTTTCAAAATGCTGACACGCCGAGCTCAAAAGGTTCGCCATCACTGCTCTAACATCTCAGTGCCAACAAGAGAGGATGCCTGAGGGTCAGGGTGGACCCAGGACAGGCCTCCAGCTATAGCAAAGGCCTGGTCTGCAGAGCTCGGCTGCGTCAGCCTCGCACCTGGTCCTCATCGTCACTGCGGCCAGCGCGATGGCCCTGGGGCCGAGCAGGTGGGTAGCCACCGTGCCCTGCCCAGCCCAGAGCCTACACACCGAGGTGCCAGGCCTGGCTGCAGCAGCTCAACATCACTCTCCTGGAAGATCCCAATTAATCCGTAATCCCCAATTAGGCGATCTCTCCTGCCAGCCAGTCTGGCAGGCCTCGGGGGGAGGACTTGCCCCAGGCCAGTGGCTTTACTGGGAGCCATGGCCCGTCCTCCTTCTGACACCCTCCACCAGTTGGCACACACGGCATTGCTTCCTGAGATGTCTGTCCTCTTCGCAGGGGTTGGAGGGTACATGCCAGGGAAGACTGGAACCCCCCTCAGGGTTAGCCTCCCACCACCCGGTGGCCCCCCAGCCTGGCAGGCTCTGTGGTTGGTGGTTTGAGGGAGTTGCTGGGATGGATTTAATTATCTGCAGTGTATATGCTGGCACCGGAAGTGTCCACAGCCCCACCGGTTCTCACACTGGCCCTCTCACCCCACAAGGCTGTGAGCCCAGAAGGTCTCCACTACTTAAGTCTACTTTAAATAGTGTGAGTATAACATGCATTCCGGGAGGCGTATAAATCTGAGGACAGCACAATGAAAGTTTACCTGTGTATGCACCCAGGTAACCATCATTCTATCAGAACTTATTTTAGAACAGGTCTCGGTTTACAGAATTATTTCGAGGACAGTCCAGTGAGTTCCCATATACCCCAAACCCAGCTTCTCCTATGTGTTAGGCCAGGTTCTCCAGAGAAACAGAACCAATAGGAGGTGTGTATGTGTATGTGTATGTGGAAGATACTTATTATAAGTAATTGGCTCAGGTTATTATGAGGGCTGAGACGTCCCCAAGCCTGCAGTCAGCACGCTGGAGGCCCAGGACAGCCTGTGGTGCGGTTCCAGCCCACGCCCGGAGGCCTGAGACCCAGGAAGGGTGCCGGCATGGGCTCCAGACTGAGGTCCGGAGAACACCGGCGACCCAGCTCCGCAGGCAGGCCGGTGAAGTTCCCTCTCGCTCCGCCTTTCTGTTCTATGTAGGTCCTCAGCTGATTGGATGAGGCTCACCACACTGGGAAGGGCAACCTGCTTGGCTTAGTCCACTGATTCAACAGGTGTTCATCTCACCCAGATACACCCTCACAGACCCCCCCGCCCCCAGAATCACGGTTGACCCCAGGTCTGGGAACCCCAGGATCCTGTCAAGTTGACACATAAAATTAACCACCACACCATTAGTCACATTGTACATTAGAAGGGCACATTTGTCACAGTTGATGAACGTATACTGATACATTACTATTGGCTGAGCCCACATTTTCTGCATATTTCATCCGTTTTTTTCCGGATGGCCCTTTTTCGGTTCCACAGCATCCAGGACCACGTTACATTAGACACCATGTCTCCTTAGGCCCCTCTTGGTTGATGCTTCCTCAGACTTTGTTTTTTACATTTTATGATCTTGACAGTGTTGAGGAGGACTGGTCAGGTATTTTATGTATTTTATATAACGTCTCCGAACTGAAATTTGTCTGTTTTCTTCATGGTTCGTCGTAGTTATGGGTTTGGGGGAGGAAGAGCACAGGGACAAGGTGCCGCTCTCATCTTTCATACCAACGGTGCGTACTACCAACATGACGTCACTATTGATGTTGACCTTGATCAGCTGGCTAGAGGCAGTGTTTATCAGATTTCTATACTATAGAATTACTCTCCTTTTTTTTCTCTCTCTTTGCATACTATACTCTTTGGAAGGAAATCACCATGCATAGCCCACATTTAAGGGCAGAGTATCGACATAAATTATTTGGAATTGGGATTCTTCTGTATGCAAGATTGGTCTCTTCTCCCCCACTTATTCATTTATTTGCTTATTCAGTCAATCATGTGTTTGCACTCATATGGACTCATAGGTATTTATTCTGTACTTTAAGTTATAATCCAATACTATTTCATGTATTCTGTTGTCCAAACGGTCCCAGTTTGGGCCATTGGAGGCTCTTTCAGCGTGCTCCTGTCTCCCTTTCACATACCCCAATCAGTGTAGGTTTGTTTTTTCTCTCTACTGATTTATTGTTTTTTCTTTGATATTTTTAATTGAATTTATTGAGATGACATTGGTCAATAAAATTATGTAGGCTTCAGGTGACAATTCTATAATACACCGTCTGTATTATGTGTTCACCACCCCAAGTTAGCTCTCCTTTGGGGTTTTGTTTTTGTTTTCAGCATTTTATTACTTTCTGCACTACAAAACGCCCTGGGATCAGGTTGTATATTTCCTGCCCTAGTCCTTGAGTCAGCCATTTCTGCAAGGAACTCCGGTTCGTTTTATTGGAGAATGGTGTCAGGAACCAAGAGCTAGACACTAGATTGCTCCTAGGCCCTCTCAGCTGATATAGTGTGAGGAGATATGTGTATACAGTAACCTGTGTATATACATACATTTATAAATGTTGCTACATGTCACCAACTGTATCTATATTAAGCTAAACACGATGCTCCCTGCCCCAGCCTCCACTCTGTCTTACCGCCCTGTGTGCCTTTCCTGTGTCTTCCTTGAGAACAGGAGCTCCTTGAGGACAGAGGCCGTGGCCATTCATTTCCATGTCAATGTCTAGCAAAGGCTTGGGAGATAGGACAGAGTCAGAAAATGTTGGATGCCCTGGCTGGTTTGGCTCAGTGGATAGAGCATCAGCCTGGGGACTGAAGGGTCCTGGGTTCGATTCCAGGTCAAGGGCACATGCCCGGGTTGTGGGCTCGATCCCCAGTAGGGGACATGCAGCAGGAAGCCAATCAATAAGTCTTTCTCCTCGTTGATGTTTCTATCTCTCTCCCTCTCCCTTTCTCTCTGAAATAAATAAAAATATTTTTAAAAAAGAAAAACAGTATCTATTGTGGTACTTAACCATTGACAAATAATTATTTTTAAAAAAAAAAACAAAGAAAACGTTTGTTGGATGAGTGAATGAATGTCCTGGGGATGAGAAAAACTATAGACTTGGAGGCATGGAGGGCACACAAAGACAGTTTTCAGGGAGAAGTAGCCTGGGAGAAAGGGTTAGTGTTTGGAGAGAGTGTAAGATCTAGGGTAGCGAGGAATGAGATTTGAGGGGAAGGTTCTGGGTGGAAAAAAATGGAAGGATTTGGAGGCACTGGAGTGGGACAGAAAAGAGAAGAAAACAATAAACACTTTATAAATAATTATTTAATCCACACGACAACCCTGTGCGATAGTGATTAGCGTCTCCACGTTGATAGACGGAGAAACTGAGGCATATGGAGGTAAGCAACTTGCCCAAGAGAAAACCGCTCGTGGGGGTGATGTGCGATTCGCACTGTCATCCTGACTCCAGTCCATCCTCTCTTTGGCTACAGGGCCTGGCATGCAGTCAGCACTGAACAAAGGTCAGCTGTTCCTACTATTGTCATTACGCGGGGGGCCTTGGAGGAGCAGGTTGAAGGCTGTTTGAGTCGCCCTTGGATCCAACACTAGCCTAGACCCGAGAACAAGGCTATTCGGAGGAATAGGTGCGCCGGTGGTGTGGGTGAGGGACCCGTTTCCATAGAAACAAACGAATGCTTTCGGAGGGCGCGTGCGCAGATCGGGAACAGGTTGTTGAACCGGCGAAAGGTGACGTAAAAGCGCACGGGGTGAGACGCAGGGCTCGGAACGTCAAAGCCCTGCGTCCTCCGGCGTCCCGGGCGGAGGAAAGGCGCGCTCCTTGGCGGCGGTAACAGCAGCCCACATGGACCGAGGCTACAGCAACCCCCGCTAAACCGAGGCCGGCGGCGCGGAGCGGACGTGCGAAGCAACGCGAGTGAGGCGCGGGGGCCGTGCCCACACCTTTGAAGACCCCTCAGGGGGAACCGCCGGCGGCTGGACTCCCGTCCCGGCTGCGAGGCCCCGCCTCTCGAGTCTTGGGACTAATCGGTTTGAGAGCGCGCGGTGCCGAGCCGCGAACTCTCCAATTACAGAGGGCGACGGGCACCGCCCAATCCGAAGCAGACAGGTGCGAGGTCCGGAAGGCAGCGACCAATCGGCAGCGGTTGCGGCCTATTGGGGCCGGTCTCGGCCAATGAGGAGGTCCGAGTGACATCTTTGCACACCAATCGGGAGTGAGAGAGCGTTTGTGCCTGTCCGCCCTTCCGGCCAGAGCTCTATTTACTAGGGGCGTGCAGCCCGCCTGCCAATCAGAGCGCAGCTGAGTGGCCAGGCAGCCAACCCCGGAGGAGCGGCCGGCGGGGTCCGCCGCACCCAAGAGTTGGGGATGTCCTACAAACCCATCGCCCCCGCCCCCAGCAGCACCCCGGGCTCCAGCACCCCTGGGCCCGGCACCCCAGTCCCTACAGGTGAGGATCCAGCTCCATCCTTGTTCGTCTGCCCGGGCGGTCGAGGTCTCGAAAAGAAGACGGCCCTGAGTGGAGCAGTTCTGGGCCTGTCACCTACACTCCCAGAGCCTCAGTTTGTTTGCCTGGGAAGTGGGCGTGGTCGCGTAAGGGTCTGGTGGGATGCAGGGGGAGGGGTTTGCCCCTGAAGTTGAGCATCCTGGAATGAGCATTCCTTTGGAAGGAATCGGGCCAGTCGGGGGCTTGGGACGCTAGGAAGAGAAGTCCCTGTCCCGCTCTGACCTCCTTAACTCGCACATTGTTGCAGCCGGAAGTGTCCCCTCGCCATCGGGCTCGGTGCCTGGAGCTGCTGCCCCTTTCAGACCACTGTTTAACGACTTTGGACCGCCCTCCATGGGCTATGTGCAGGTGAGTGGGGCCGAGAGCTTGCCTATGGTTGGGGACTGGCAATCTGCCCCAGGGCCTGAGCTCACTACCCTGTTCTCTTTTGACATAGGCAATGAAGCCACCCGGCGCCCAGGGCTCCCAGAGCACCTACACGGACTTGTTGTCGGTCATAGAGGAGATGGGCAAAGAGATCCGGCCCACCTATGCCGGCAGCAAGAGCGCCATGGAGCGCCTGAAGAGAGGTGAGTGAGGCCAGGCCCCCACCCCCAGGAAGGACGGACCCCTGGAGGCCACCTGAGCCCAGCCTAGACTAGGGGCAGGGTTACTATCCATAGGTGTATTGAACTGAATTGAAAATTAGTTGGTTTCCAGGGAGGGACCAGGGAATTTGTATTTCAACAGGATACATTTGAGGATTAGCCGTCGGTCATAGAGGAGATGGGCAAAGAGATCCGGCCCACCTATGCCGGCAGCAAGAGCGCCATGGAGCGCCTGAAGAGAGGCATCATCCATGCCCGGGCCCTAGTCAGAGAGTGCCTGGCAGAGGCAGAGCAGAACGCCCGCACGTAACAGGAAGCACCTCCGCCTCGAGTCTGGACCTTTCCTGGCCACTGCAGGGCACCTGCTTCTCCCTGGCCTTCACCCCGAGTTGCACTTCCTGTCCTGTGTCCCTTGGTGGGTACTCTCCAGGAACCGGGGGTGGCTCTCACTCGTTGGCAGCACTAACTTGGAACCCCTGGAATACTTAGCAGCGAGGTCACTGTGAGTCCCACTCATGAGCTGCCGTCAGTGTTGATGCAACTGGAGTTTTCTTCTTCCTGTAGCCCCCACGACTCAGCACTCACCCAGGACTTCTCACCACTTTGTCCCAGACCCCTTCTCCCCCAGCAGGCCTTCAGAAGGCCTGTCGCCTCCCTGCCTTGTCTCCTGGGCCATAGCCTCTCTTTTCTCAGTGTGTCTTTTGCTAAACATGCCCTTTTTTTGTATAAATAAAAGATAATTTGGAGTTGTTCTCTCAGCTCTTAGCCTTTCTGAGTCTGGTACTTCTGCTAAGCCTGGTGGCTGGGGAGAAAGTGGGAAAGAGAAGACTCAGAGTGGTGCAGTGGGTGGGAGAGAGGCCAACGCAGCCTGGCCCTGCCTTGCCCCGTGCTGTCCATTAACCTTGGGAGGGACCCGGCTCCTGTCTGCCTGCCCTCCGCCTTCCCAGCTTTAAGTAGTGGAAAGAGTTGAGCTCCGGTAGCTGAGAGCCTGGCCTTGCTTCGCATGGCGCCACCAGGGGGCAGTGCAGGGCCTCGGCCTCCCCCACAGCTGGAGGGCAGTGTCACCAGCCTGGGCCTAGAGGGTTCTACCTCTGGATTAGCAGTGATGCCTGGCAAGGTGGAAATGCCAGTTCACTTACGCCACGCCTTCCTGCCTTCATGCCCTAACAGCTTAAGCTGAATCAGCCCTCAGAGGCTCTGAATGCACCCCATCTCTGACTCCTCGGAGAGGGGAGAGAGCACTGCTTCCCTCCCCGGAGCACCTGCGAAGCAGAGCCACGGCAGAGGACTGGCTTCCGGCATGGGTGCTGCCATCCACTGTCCCAGGGCCTTTAGGGGACTGGGTGTGGTCCACAAGCCCAACCCACCGGTGTCTCAGCCTTTGCCCACAGTCTGGTGGCTGGTTGGCCAGACTTGTGGACCCGGAAGGTATAGATGGGGCCACTTTGAGGGGCTAGTCCTCCGAGTGACTAAAGGCCTCTGCCTGGGTGTGTGGCCGAATGACCCCAGAGACCCGGAGCGCTGGGATCCCACCCCCTAAGTAGAGGCAAGCCAGAGAGCAGACTCTGGGGAGGGGGGTGCATTTCCCCCGGGTCTCAGGTGTGAGGGCGGGGAGAACGCGGAGAGATAGGACCCTGCCGCAATTCCCGAGCGCACGGGAGGCCGGGCCAGGGTGGGAGTAGAAAGCAAGAGTGTTTGGGGGATTCCAAAAGGCACATAAGGCGTGAAAAGCACCAGCATTTGGAGAACTGCTTCCCTCACTGCCGTGGGGAAGGAAGGAAGGGGCCGCCTCCTCCGCCGCAGGCGGGGCTGCCGGGACCCCTCAGG